TTCGAAATGGGCGCTGACAGTGCGAAGTACGCCATGTTAAATAGCTGGGCGGGTTACTTGGCTGACAATGCGCTGTATCCTTTGAGCCAGTTAGTTCTTTACCGAGTCTAGATAGAATATATCCTGATCATTGTTATGTGCAGGATATCACTGGCCTCTCCGACTGCGAGCGATAATTCGACAAATGTGGCCGCCAAAGGGATCATCGGGATTGGGGCGATGGGGGCTATTGATAAAATGTTGAATTATGGCAGCAACAGCTCTGTCAATTACTCGGTATGGTTCTTCTGCCTAACGTGTCATGGGCATGATCCTCACATAAGATATCTATGAAGTCGATGGCTATCGAATACGCCTCGCATTGGGAGTCGCTAGCCTTTGTCACGTCCAATGGCCAGACGCATCTAACTTCGACATATGGAGGTCCGGAGTCCTCCTGGACACTGGTGGACTCACTATTTGGCGATAAATTACTTGCGATGGGGGTGATAAGTTCCCAGGTAACCTCAGGGCATTTACACAGCGACAGCACAGATTATTCACGTACTGTAGGTTTATGATGCCCAGACCCAATTCTACGAGCAATTGATGAATGATAATGCTGGTATGATTCTGCTTAGTTGTACATATCACCGCTAATGTCTTGATGAAGCCTCCTATGGATATGGACTTCCTATGGATGAATCGTCGAAGATTGGGAACTCAGGTACGATGCTTCGTTACAATGATTCTGGCTTGCTCTTATATTTTCTTAGCGGCTTTGGCAATGGTTGCCGCAACCATGACAAACGCAAGTACTCGCGCTCAAATTCTGTCCAGCGTAGCTTCGTACGCTGCATTGCCATTGTCACTCAACATTTTCCCCACTTCCTACTATGTCTCAAATGGATCATACGTTTCGGGCCCGGCAAGGTCTGTGATAGCGTTCTTTGTTGTATATCTCATACTTACTTACATCGAAGTCCTGCTCAAGGTGCACTCTTTGCGCCTATGGTATTGAGGTTAGTCTGCCATTCCAATACCATAGAAAAAATGCGCTGATTCTTTATATTGTAGTCTATTGATACCACCAACAAATAGCACAACGCCCCCTGCGTCTTACACTCCCGGATCTACACCAGCCAAGTCACACACGAGTTTAGGCGTCATTCTTGGGGCTGTTTTTGGAAGCGTCGCGGGGCTCCTGATTATTGCCATCGCCGCTGTGATGTTCATACGTCGCAGGCGATACAAGGCCGTCCCAAATGACTTGCCTATCTCCTCGCCTTCATTCCAATATGATACGGTTACACCGTTCATCCCCTCGGAGGACGGCGTTTCAGGATCGTACGTCTCGCCGGACGAGAGTTTGCAGACATCGAAAACGAAAGAAATTCACCAGGATATGGTGACATCGCCATTCTCAGCGACCTCTCCCCTATCCTCTACACAGGCGGGAAACACGGCAACGGAGGGCGCGGCTGCAGATGGCCCGGCTACCGAGGGTGTGGGGTCGCCTTTGAGGCAGCCTGGTGAGGGGCCAAGCAGAAACCACGTTATGACCGAACTCCGTACGGAAGTGTTACAGCTGCGCCAGTTCATGCAGAGTATGAATGAGCGGCTGCAGGTCGAACCCCCTCCCACATATTCGGAATAGGGTCCATCGGCACAATCCAACTTTACTTAACTTACTGGTACTTAGAATACAAGCAGCAGCTTAATTTGTGAGACAACTTAGACTGCTCTTATTGTTTTTCCCATACCTGAGCTACGCTGCGCTGACCCGCACTACCTTGCTCGGGGCCACCTCAGCCGCGGAGATATCGAACTGGGAGTCGGAGGGTGAGGTGTGCAATCGGATTGAGGCCCGATGCACATCATGAAGCAAGTGCGCCGCTGCTCAGTCTTGCTTATCTGTATCATCTTCTATTATATCTTCTATTATAAATAAGCATGGTTTCCTTTTCCAGCCTATCTCCCGTTTTGGACACGGCTTCCGCCGCCCGCTTCTCGCTCTTTCGATTTGCGCGTTATCATATCCATCTTGCAATTATTACTAATGTATCTCAGAAAATGTATCCTCTTGCGCTCTCTCAACTCCTGCAGCATCTGCATCCCTGAGTCATAAGACCCACCAGGTACACTATTATATTCGGAATCAATAGTGCAGCAACCGTCGCTACATCTGAGAGCAGACCAACGACATCATGCATCCCAGAGCTGAAGCTGTAGCTTCACGTTTGGGGTGTATGATATTCAGGTCCATCTGTGATCGTGCTTACATTCACCGGCGTGTTGCTCTGTCGTTTGCTCCTCGCGCTTGCTACTCCGGCGGTCCACCGCGACAGCAGTCGAACGCAGGAATGTATGAGGCTGTATCCGGGTGCGATCGCTGCTACTGTGATAGGTGTGAGGACTCGAAGTAGCCATTCTACATTTTGGACTGCGAGTACAAGGTACTGCATGCTTCGTGCTCGTTGTTGTTCTATCTATCGTTAGTGTTTAGTTCTTCTGTAGTTGTGTGGTCGGGAGCCTCTCCGACGCGACCCGACCGCAGGTCGGATGCGGTAGGAGCTGCCGCCGTTGCTACCCACTCAGTACACTATTACTCGAAATCAACAATGAAGCATCCGTGTGTAGGCACGGGTATACTGCTAGTTAACTACTAAGAAGGTATATACATACGAACTATTACCTTCTTCAGGAACATTAATAGGCCAGGCCAGACCGGCTGAGTGTTGAAACTTGAACATCGGCTCGCGTGGGGGCTGTGCTGCCAATCTTACACTGTCGTATTATACTTAGCACGGGCAAGTTCGGTGAGAGGTAAGATTAGATCGCTTGCCGGTGCCGGCAGCTTTTCATATTTAAACAGTTTCCATGGGGGGACTCTTCGTGAATGGTACTTCTATTCAATGACTTCGTTCCTTGAGCTCGCACTGTAGACCAACTAAACTTACAAATACAACCGATCGTTCTTCACGAAGGATCATCGCGACTTCAAGTAAGATACTTCGCCTTCGCCTCCTTCGCGAACCCCGCACAGTCGACCACAATACCCTCTTTCCGGCTCTTCTCTGCCGCAAAGACAGTCAAGTGACTGTTCAGGACATCCGCTATATCCGTTCCCAGAAGCTCTTGTTTTTCAGTGCGCACGGCTTCGATGAAGGTCCGGATGAGTCCGATATCGCCTCCGCCATGATTGCCACCCTCGGATTTTGGTGTGTGTCGAGTTGTCTCGCCAGTACGGAAATCTGTCACAGTGAAACTGCTCATATCGCCAATAATTTCTCCGTGCGAAAAATGCAGACGAGTTTGGCGTTCACAGATTTGCTCTGTCTGAGCAATCATTGTGAACGACACTGTTTCTCCCGACGAAAATTCCACGTTCACGATCTATGGCAAATATATCAGATTCGGCGATGGCATAGCAGGATACAACATACCTGATTGTCACAAACATTATTATCGCTCTCATAGACACATTTGCCAAAAGACCCATGTTGGAGGACAGAAGTAATATTCTCAATGTCAGGAATACCATCCACTATAGTTGCAGCGGGCCAACCAGTCTGGCCCTTAGACACAGGATCAAGATAAACTACGGTGAACCGAAGTCATCAGACTGAGACAAGCATTGAGACTCAAACCATGACTCACTCTTCTTGGCACTATACGGACATTCCTGCTCGTATGAACAGTCTAGGCAGCGAGTCGCTGTACCTGCCTCCTTGGGCTTCGCTTCCTTACGGAAGTGCAGCAACGATCCGAACGACGAAACACGAGTGGGGACGCTAGGTGCAAGCCAATGACAAAGCAGGTCGATATCACTGCAGATAATCAGAAACTAGTTGCACCACAGTGAGCAATGCACTTACTGGCAACTTTTGGTCATGAGAGAAAACGACGATTCCTCTTCCTTGGACCAGTTCCCTCGGACATACGAGTGCGCAAAATGGAAATAGCCTACAGGCTCAACGTGGACAACATTGATCAATTGTCCAAGCTTTCCGGAGAAAATAAATTCTGATAGTGCCTTGTTATACGGCGAGTATCGAAGAACTGGAACGATACTCATGTGAATCGTCCATGTTTCCCTCAAGTCGCGATATCTTACCATGACCCATGCCGAATATGATCCCTGCTTTCTTCACCGCGAATTCCATCTTGACACAATCTTCGACACTGGTTGCCATGGGCTTCTCACATAGGATGTGATATCCCTGTTCAGCGAACGCAAGGGTCACTTCAAGATGCATACGATCCTGTACACATATGATAACCGCATCCGCGAGCCGCTTCCCGACAGTCTTGATTGTCTCTTCGGAAGCGTTAATCAGGTCCTTCCAGGAGTTGAAAACCAGTGTCTTGTCGACAGTGTGCGCTTCAGCCATAAGCTTCCGCGTCTTCGGGCGCGGCTCAGCGATCGCGACGATCCTGCATTTCGTGGATTCGGCGAGGGCGTATGCAGCATATGCCTAGATACGACATAGCATTTTATTTCGGGCATCTTACGAAGAGCGACAGAAAGAGACATACCTGGCCGCGACTTCCACACCCTACGATTGCGAGCGTTACCGGCTCTGGAGGATGGGATGGGACCTCGATACCCATAGTGAGGTGCGAGGGTCTGAGATGTGTGCGTCTTCCGCTTTTTCAGATGCCTACAGTAGTGCAGGGCACCAACGGTCCGGCTCAATGGGACTCGACCTGAGAATCTAGCCGGGCGGCAATAGACCACGCAGGCCAAAGATAAGTCATTGATACATACATATGAGTTTGATGACAAGCAGGCGCATCATTGCGAGAACAAGTTGTCAAGCTCGCATCCTCAGAGCCTCATGGACAAGATTCAAGGTGTGGATAGACGGAGCTCTGTCTCCAGCGATATTGGAAATGGACGTTTGGACGGGTCCTAGTATCGAAATAGTACATTATCGAAGCAAACAGTGATGAGATATTTGAACGCGGGCATAGAGTGAGGCACACGAGCCGACGGTGTATGCGACCAGATCTCGGAGGTCACTGGCCCTTGAGTCACTAAAGATCGTTCACGCAAGCCGAATGGTCGTATGCCTCGTCTCATTCCACGGCTACTTCAGAGCCTCAGAAATATACAACACAAACCTCCTCCCATAGTTCCTATCGACAGGCGACCTCAACGCAGAAAGGCAAGAAAATCATCACATCCTCTTCCAGAATGTCCTTCGCTATCCCCACAAGGCCGAACACAGTCCATTGTGCTCGATTCCCTGGATCCCCTCCTCCAGCTCTCTGCTCATCGTCGGTCAAAGTCCTCCCCTCCCCGACTCAGGACGAAAAGACCAAAGCGACGGGAAACGGTCCACAGTACCAGCGATGAGCACTTGCGCGCAATGTCCGCCGAAGAGCGGGATTATTGGGCAAATCCATACTGTACGTCTCTATTCTTACGCTGTGACGAGTTATACACATCCTGCTTTGAGAAGTACGAATGCTTTCAACTCCTTTACGGCACTGTCTGGTCTCAAAGCGATATTTGCCAAAGGGTATGTTCTAGACACGGCTAGTATCTTCTATTTCATCTGACCATGCCTCCATAGCGTTTCTCCTGAGAATGGTTCCCGTGCGATTACCTACACCATTGTTGGGAAAACCGACCCAGATACTGGTTGGCGATGAGCTCGAACATCCTAGTGTCAAAACCCGTAAGCCAGGGACAGGGCACTACGTAACATGTTGGAGGACGGCTGTGGAACAACTCAATCAACGAGGTGAGTCCCATTCTCAATCATTGCGGAGTGGTGGATAAGAGCTTGTTTAGGTTATTACAAACGATTCAGTAGTAATGTGGTGATGCATAGTTGGTTGACCCGCCAAATTGGACATTTGCTTCGTGTGCGGGTACTACAAGAACTGCATGTACTCGAGCGAGTTATACGGCGAAATCCTTCGGGTTCTAATAGCGCAACCTTACTTAGAAGACTAACGCGTGCAGAGTGGAAGCAGCTCAAATCATCTGGCGTCGTGCCATGCGACAATGCGGTCGCAGTCCTTGTCGTACCCCCACTGAACAAGGACCCAAAAACAAAAATCAGACCAGGCCCATCGGTTGCCACAACACCTCCCCCTTTGAAGGAAGATGGTGAAGAGATGGAATCGATTCATCCTGCTCTTCCCCTGTCGGTCATGCTGCAGACTAGCGCCAAAGAAAACCATGAGTCTAGCATCGATATCCCGTATCTTCTTCCATCCCCCAAAGTTCCATTGTACAACGCTATCTCCCTCTTTCCATGGCGCTCGCAACGTGCAGCATTGCATGTCGCATTACAACGCATCCTCAAAGTTGAGCGAGGTGCTCGCTTCGGAGAACGCAGTCGCAAATTAGCTCGAAAGTCTTACAGTTCTGCCCCAGACTCTACGAGTAAGATGAACGACATCTCTTCGAACAAAAGGGCATGGACTCGTGGAGATAATAAAGGAAGCCATGCCTTCCTACTGTGCTCAGATGCCAAGTCGCTTATGCGCGCGGATACTGTGCCATTAGCGATTGCGCTCTGGAGGGTACGGATCTGGGAGGGCGCGGGATGGGAAGATTCTGGTACCACCACTGGTGGCTGGACATTGTCATCGTAGATGTACTCGCACTCAGCTGATCAATGAGTTGCTTCATGAGCGCATACGACCATGAAGCCTTCAGCTTGCCAGCACAACTAAACAAAAGTATGAATCCTAGGCCCTGGGATGCGAATGCCGAAAATGTCGGAAAATACAATTACTCCTAAGCCTCTACAGCCATTGGTACAGGCCCAGTCAATTCCTTCGTCTTTGCTGGCATGCCAAGAAGCTCTTTGCCTTCCCAGAACTTTGGCAGCTCATTCCCTGGAACAAACAATCTTTCTACACCATCCTCCGTGATAACACACATACGGATAACACCGCCAGAAGAACCGTCCCTTGACATCGCTAGTGCAAGAGCTACGGAAGGAAAGAGATGGGTGTCAGCACTTAACAGCATAGAATGGAGCAGCTGCTTACTGTTCTTGACAAAGTTTACTGTCTCATCCCGTCCCCAGCCTTCTTGATATGTCGCATCGCAATATCCATATACATACGTAGATCCAGACCCTTTACGTTTGTTAGATCATGAAGTCAGATAGATCAATTGAAAGATGAACATACCTCCGATTGCCCACGGTTGCCTGAACAATCCTCCACCGAGTGGAATGTTGTATACGCTCGGACCTGTCTCCTTATCCCAGCCCCCCACAATAATTCCAGCACTTAATGCGTCCTTGTTTTCATAACAGAGCTTCTCAAAGATACTTGCTGCTGCATGCACTGACGGAGATTCACCTTGTGTTTGTCTGTGGATGGACAAATATGTAAGCATCGATCTGTGCGAATGCCTCTGTTTACACATATACACGCACCTGTATGATTGTAAATGGTAGTGCACAATGTCTGCGATGGCCTGTGTATCTGCGGCGGAACCAGAGCGACAGCAGTAGATGCGGTCGTGGACATACGTAAGCTTGTCTGTAACACGGTTGGCCTATGCATCATGAGCGATTCAACAGAGTTTTACGAGTGAATTAGTTCTCACAATGTAGCTTCCGGTGGTAGTTCGACTGTCTGCTCCGACCACTACGCCGTCTTTGAATTGAACAGCCATGATTGAGGTCTGGGCGATCAGCGTCACTTCATGTCATATTAGAGTACTGAGAAAGAGGCATACACCGAGGTTGACCTCGCCAGACTTCAAACGGTTGATGTCAATGGTCTCCATGAGTGTTGCTTGAGGGGACAAGCCAAAGGAGGCGCGTTCGTGTTAGAAGGAATGTGATCGTGCAAGTGGCTGAAGCTGAAGAGGTGACGCGTCGACGCGCGTCGAGTCCCGCACCTTCCCCGTGCACTCTGCTCACTTCAAGCTGAACCTCATTTCATCCTCTGCTCTTCACCTCCTCCACGTTTTCTCATCTTCATCGCTTGAAATGGCACCCTCGCAGATAGTTGCACTGCATAAAGAACTGCAGCTTGCTTTCGGCGCACGACCATGTAACCTCCAGAAGTGCGGACTGCTGCTCGCGAAGTTGAAGGTACTTCTTCTTGTTACAGTGTCGTGTGTTGCAGCATGTATTTGGATTGAATAATGTCTATCATAGGTTGGTCTCATTGAGACTGGACTCCTACTGCCACTGGGTGACACTAGCCTGGACAATCTTGTACTGGCTCGTAAGTTGTATTGCATGTGTCAACGTCTGCGCCCATGATAAACACACTGGTTAGGCGATATACTCGAAATTGGCGCATTTTGGAGTATACGATCCAAGGACATCCCCTCGTTTGACCGCTATTACTCACAATTGCAGACCTTCTACAATGATTACAGGTATATCCTTAGATCTTCGGTATCGGGACTCACTTCAACTCCCATATCAGCTCTGTGATCCCTCCGTCGCCCCGCGAGTACCCAATTCGTGGTCTATATCTCATCCGTCTACTTACACAAAATCGCATTGCCGACTTTCACACGACTCTCGAGTCGCTACCGCTCGCAGCCGATTCACTCACAGCTAACCCATACATTCAACATCCCGTCAATCTAGAGCGCTGGCTCATGGAGGGCAGTTATAGCAAGGTCTGGAATGCGAGAGAAGAGGCGCCCGCAGAAGAGTACAAGTTCTTCGTAGATAGTCTCATGGGTACTATCCGGTTCGTCATCACAAATTCAGTTGATGGCATACTTACCCCATTCGCCGATAGGAACGAGATTGCAAGTTGTGAGGAAGTAGCATACGAGAGCCTACCTATCAAGGACGCTGCCACTCTACTGTTTTTCACGAACCAATCCGACTTGGTGAACTTTGCGCAAGAGGTTCGTGGTGGCTCTTTTAGCGTGTATACTTGATTTTCTCACCAAAACTGCAGCGCAAGTGGCAAGTGAATCTATCAGCAGGCACCATTGCGTTTAGGAAAAAGACAGAAGAGAAGGTTGAGATCCCCAAACGGAAGCTCATTTCATCGAATTTAGCCATAGCACGCGAGTTAGAGCAGATTGTATAAGCATCATAATGTAGACATTCTTCCTTGGCCATTTTGGATAGGTCTTGGGCTTGAGGTCACTTCCGGAGTGTTTCAGGTACGGTACAAGTCCATTAAGATTACAGAACGTGAAAGAACATCAACGGTCCTACTCAAAGTTTTCTAGTGCTGCCTTCGCTTTCCGCGATGCTTCATCTAATAAACCTTTTGGTACTGGTAGATGTAGACCATTAGTCTCATCACCTATCCAGGACATCTCGAGTTCGAACTCTTTCTCCTTAGTATCATCGTGAACCAAGTAAATTCTGTATGAACATTAGTCACTTGCAGCATTAACTAAATGGGAAGAATAACATACATCCTTGCAGCTTCAAAAACTGCCTCCCGTGTCGAGAGTTCCAACAAATTCAGTTTCTCAAGCTCAGTCTTCGCTAATGCGCGGCCTTTACCTATCGCGGCGCCATGATAACCCTGGGGATGTCACCATCTATGTTAGTGCATTTCGTGTATATAATGCTCGAACATACGTAAGCCACTCCACTAGGTTCGACTACATACAGTGCAGGGCCGGTCTTGTCGACCGCCCCAACGATGGTGCTGCATCCAAAGGGACGAACTGACGAGTATAATGTGTAAGCTTGGAAATACATGCCCACTCTCTCGACAAGATGCTGTTAGTGTCAGGTCTACCTTCAGCAAAATAGCACATTCATATGATAGACAACGCAGCTTACCTTCAGTGGTATTGGGGTATGATATAAGTCCCCATAGTTGGCTGCTTCATCTCGCGCCCGATTCGCTACATGTCGACCATCTGCTAGGAGGCCTGAGGATGCCTGAACGTGAATCGGCAGTCAGGTCTGAGGTTCAGCTATTCATAAACGAGCGGAGCGTACGAGTCCAACATGCTTGTCAATTGTCTGTATGCGTCTATTCGCACCTGGAACAAGCAGTTTCGAATGCACAAGCTTCTCCACGGCTAGAACGACGCCATCCTTTACTCTCAGTCCGATGGCAGTCCTTTCAAGCGGTCGAAGTATGTAAGTGACGTCCGAAATATTTCCATGCACAGTGTGCTCACCCTGAGTTCTCGACTGCTTTATTCGCATATTCAACCTGCACGGCCGCAAGCCATCATACATCAAGTCGCGTACCGCGTCGGGGTCTGCTGAAGCACGTACCTGAAAGATACGGCCATCCGGAGAGTATGTGCTAGCTGAAAGATCGTAGCCGGTCCCAATGGAAGTCATTTTGATGTCGCCAGGCTACTTGTGGAGTGCAAGAGTGAACGGCAGTCGATATATGTAGATGGTCCTCGGTATAATGGTAGGACGCGCAAGCTTGGGCGACTTGCACTCGACGCGTGGGCGTGGGAATAGCATCCAGATCGGGTTCGGGACGCGTTGATGAATGACCGCGTCGACGCGACAGTGGCGGTCGCTCCTAACCTCTTGTTTCACCTCCTACCTCTTGTTTATGCCTGCTCTGAGATCCTGAAGATGGAGAAAGAGACGGATTGGAATGCACTGTTCAGCGATCACCCCATATTCTCCCTCCCAAAAGGTGTTGCTGAGTCAGCGGGGAAGAATGAAACCTCTTTGGAACTCTCCCTCGGCTCTCTCCCAGAATTCACTGAGGTGGATCCTGAACACGATGGGCCTACACCCTCAGGGAGGCGACAAGTCATGATCATTAAGGATGCGGAGCTTATAGTCGCAGCTGGAAATGAAATTCGAATGGCTTCTTTGCTCGACTCCAAGCTGGGTCGACCTGTGCGCAAATCCTACAAAGTATGCATTTCCTTAGCGCTCCCACCATTTTAACCGCAAAACTTAGTGTTCGACAAGATCCTTCATACTCCGAATATTCAGTTCGAGATTCATCAACTGGCGTTAAGTCCTCACGGGAAACTACTTGCAGTGGCGGGGGCTTCCCAGGTCGCCGTTGTTGTACTACCTCGTGCAGGTTTCACGAAGCTGGTACCTTCGACCATTGACTGCAAGTACGCAAGAACTTTACTGCATATGAATTGTGCTGAACAATCCAATATTGCCTAGAACCATTCAAGTAGGACAATTCTATCATGCTGTAGACACCTCTGCACCAGTGGCGAAGATCGAGTGGCACCCTTGGGGAGAAGGTGGAACAACCCTCATGGTTATGACTACAGACGGGAAGCTACGGTAAGTTCGAGCTTGTAGCATACTTGAATTGATGAGGAACCCCGTCGCATAGGGAGTATGACATGTCGGTGGATTCAGAAGAACCTCAACAAACGTTATTCTTTGTTCCGGACAAAAAGAAGAATTCATTTATCGCCGAGGATGAGTCTGAGCGAGAGGTTGTATCGTTCACGTTAGGAAAGGGCAGAGCTGATTGGGGCCCGTTGAGTATTTACGCAATAACACGAAGTGGTGACATTTACGCCATATGTCCCTATATGCCAAAGAATGCGTAAGTAGATTATTTCTTCCCATTGCAGACATCTAAAGTGTAATAGCTCTATTCCATTAGCATACGTGCATGCCCTTGAATGCTTTGTCGCTGCCAAGCAAGAGTTTCTCGCTAGATCTCCTGAGGAAGGTACTTCGTCGAACGGTTTGGAAAATATGTACGAGTACCAGCACAAATATGTTGCTGCCCTCGTGAAACAATTACCATCCGACGATGCCCATCCTGAAGCGTCTCGTTTCATACTTATGCATCCGCCTTCCATTATGAAGAACCCTCCGGTGCGACAAGGTCCTTTCTTACTGCAACCTTCGCCACGCACGTTGGAAGGTAGCGAGGGTGGCGATGCGACCGACATTATCTATCTCGCTTTCGAGAATGAAGCAGAAGAGGCTCATGGCGACATGGAACGATTGGGCGTACTGCTGACTTCCTTCCAGGATGGCCGGGTAGACGTGTATCTTGATCTAGAGAAGGTCGAGGCGAGATGGGAACATAAACATGTGTGGTTTTTCTCTCGGTCATAGTTTGATATCGCTTATGCTTCACCAGGATCCAGATAGTGATCTTCCTATGCTTGCGGTGTATGAGACTGTTGACCTCGGGATCGTCTCGAGTCTGTCAAAAATACCTCGTTCCGAGTCGGATCCGTCATTCCTAGAGCTCTTACGCGGCAACCATCCGGTTCTGTTCTCCGATCCTATTCACGACGACACCGTCTATGTGCATCATGCCTTTGGCGTGCATGCTCTGCAACTGGGGCCTTTACTCCGGAGCCTTGTGCAAGTGCTACGGGGCGGCTCTGACAATAACCAGGACGACAATGCTATTGGGTTGTCTGCCCAAGATTGCAAGCCCACAGTAGTACAGCTCATATTGAACACGCTCTCAATCGAGCGCAAGTGAGTATGCTTCTATCACAAGCTATGTAGTCTTATGCACTCCGTCTACCATAGATGCTCAAGTCCAGTGGTCGGCTTGTCAATTCCGAACGACATCTACTTGACGTATAGCCTCTTCATTTTGACATCTGCTATGTGCATCACAGTGTTCCCATTGAACCTTCGGTCGGAGACACCGTACTCGATTTCTTCTGAACTCCCCCTCGTACCCGAGAATACACCTTCCAAGCTACAGTCATCCTCAGCAACTCCACCTACACCTGCATATATCTCGCTTCTTACACAAGACACTTATGTCATACCGTCCGCCCTCGCACAATCTGCCACCTCGCTAATTTCCCGCTTACCTCCATCTCCTAGTCAAGGGGAATTCGTGTTGACACCGGACACGATGCGTTACCTCGGAACTGTTGTCGAGAAATTTGGTACCAAGTTGCATGAGATAGCGGTAGCCCATCGCGGGACAGAAATGCGTGCTGCGATACAACGGCAAGAATTCGCACGGCAAAGGGAAAAATGCAAGGAGATGTTGGAGATTGTGTCGCGGTTGAAGGGCCCACGGCACGCAGCGACACAGGAGAAGCTGAAGAACATCGAGTCTGTGCAGAAGAAGCTCATGGGGCGATTGGATAGGGTTTTGCAACTCCTGATACAGAAGGCATCGCCTGATCTGAGCGAGAACGAAACCAGGTGGTTTAACGAGTTGAAGCGAATGAAAGAAGAGGTTGTTGGCCGTAGCAAGTATGATGACAGGTCGTTGGTTGCGCGGTCCAAGCTGGTAGGCTCATCCTTTCCTCGTCTGTGTTCGATCTTCATAGGCAGCTTTGTAGCTTCGAAGGGAAGTCGATCGTCTGCTCCCCCAGCTGAAGGAGCTGAAGGGGAAAGAAAGAGAACGCAAACGAAGACTTGCAGAGGATCGCGAAGCACTTGGGGTGTCTCAAGCTTTCGAGCTCGGGAAACGCTCCAATGCAGAGTAAGTTACCCGTTTTCGCGTTTGACACCCTACTCAAGTTTCATTGCAGGCGTGTAAGAATCAACAGCATCGAAGATGAGATCCTCAATCTTGCAGCCAGATTGGACGTCACCCTCGGACGACCGCCCTCTTCTCAGTCGCAATCACTGGATCCATAGTGGCTGGACGCGATGTAGCACACTCGACTTGATTCCGCAGATGCTGTACTCGATGATTTCAATGGTTTCATCATGCGCATTGTACGTGCTCGGAGTAATTCATAATGTACCGAGTCTTTGAGCCTTTACTATCATATCGGTCTCCACGATGTGCCAGCAGGCAGAGTAGCTTAGTAGCTATAGATGTCAAGTGGCATAAATAGTTAGACCACGACTCGCTGTATATGGAACAACATACTGATAGCATGCATTATATGTATATGTACTATGAGTTACACGCGCTTTATATTCGACCCAGTGTTTATAAATCCCGTCTAAGCTCCTGCTCCTTCGCTCATAAAATCTCAATAAATCACATAACCTCTATATGGAATATTGAAAAAAGTCTGTCTATTCAGAATTGTGAAATTCGCAATGGAGACAGAGAAAACTCTTGCACAACGGCTGGTTACACCTCATTCAGCCAATTCTGAGTCAAGATCGGCACATCGCACAAGAACCAGCCCACGATTCATTGCACGCTGTCGTGAGCACTTTTTTAAAGCTATATCAAGTACTCGGCCATATTCTCCGAGAGGATTTTGTGAGGGAAAACATCATCTATGCTGTCTACAATATTTGGCGTTACCTGGTCAGGATGGATGGTGACAAAATTTGGACGCCGCGCGCGGCATCTCTCGGCGCATGGTGGCTACGTAATTCAACGGTGGCGCCGCCTCAATCGAGTCACTTCTCAGCCTTTGTGAGTGTCTGGCTTGCAGGGCTGCCGAATGATGCCGATGTGACATATTGTGACCCGAGATGTAAACACTTGAACTTTTCGTACTCGTCTCACCGGAAGACATCCGCAGGAGGATGTAAGATATGTAAGTTTTTTCTGAGTAGCTGGAAAGATAGAGGAGATGTAGATGCACCTTCCCATGTAATTGTTATGTGCCCTCATGGAGTACTGATTTAAGAACAGGCCAGATACTGAAAACCGTGATAAAGTGCGTGTAACTCATAGTATCAGCCTATGATGCTCTCATTCACCTGACTTGTTCTCGCCTTCTTTTTGTGAACTCTTGAGCGGAGATCTAAAGCTTGCCTGTGGGTGGTAGCAGTCACCAAGTGCGTAAACGCATCTTCCTCTTCCGCGCAATAAGTGACTGAGCGCAAGCATTCACAAAGGTAATGCCTTTCTGACCACAGCATTAAGATCGTCTTGCGGGAGAGAAATAAACGCGAACCCAACGGGCACGCTAAGCGTCGGGGATCAAACATTACTCGCATAGTACGAACTGCGCGCACGCTTGGAAAGGGCCCTCACCCTCACGACAGTTTCGGATAACAAAGGCAGACTGTGAGTTACCTCAGTGGCGAATTATACGAAGCACACGTGTGCCGACTTTATACAAAAAGCTTCCACCCTATGTGAAGCCGAACTCTACGACCATTTCCACATGACCGAGAAAGAATGGATACCAATCGTCACGAACAGAAGGACCAACAAGAATACACCAACCAAAAACCAAGTCCAGGAAACATCGACTAAAGTACCGCTAGCGATATTTTGCAACGCGTATGCCAAAATGGCACCGGTGAAGCCCACGAGTGACCAGACGAGCAGTACAGCTGGCAGACTCAGCAGGATGGCATGTCCAGGAAGTCCTAGTGCACGACCCCGTGCATTATGCATATAAGCAAACTATATCAACGTGGTCAGAGTACTTCTCGAGATTAGCAAAGAAAGAATTTTACTGTCAAAGATGGTGACACCCCCATGTTACGGCGGTGTCTCCACACCATGAATGCGCCGAGTGTTATGCTACCCAGAGCAGTGATTGAGGACATGATCGCACACACTCGCGCGGCCTGATATACATCGTTGACAGAAAGTAATGCCATGGTCGCACTGGGTGAACGGGCTGGAATACTATACGCATGATTCTAGTCAATGAAGCATACTCACGAGAGTAGCACGGTTGACTATACACCAATGGAGGTCAGATTCCAAAGTCAGATGGAGATAAACTGGCTTACAATCAATATGAAATCTGAATATTCCTGCGTGAGCTCTTGAGTATATTTCTCCCAGCTTTGCTGCAAGTTGGAAAGGCGCCCACGGAATTCACTCGCGCTTGAAACGTTCTCTAAATAAGTTTGTGGGATGCCAAAACACAGGATATTCATGAGGATGCCGAGAAGGATTCGACTCAACAGAGACGTTCGGGGTACACGATGAGTATTCTTTACCGGGGACTGATGGAAATCGTCCATTTGGCGGTATGTGGATGTCCCGAAGCGGTCAGCTTTGCGAAAGCTATCTGGATACCAAACTTAATTTATTGCCTGATAGTCCCTGCGATACCGGCCACCTACAAACTTCTCGAAGGATCCATGCGACCAGAACGGTAGAAGATGTCATATTTGCATTCGGCTGGATCCCTTTGTGACATTCCTGGGTCAGATATTGATCTGAATGACATGTAACAAATGGTACCTTTTGGTGTATCAAGCGCTCGCAATAGCTCTTCGCATTCAATCTTGGAGAAGGGTACAATGCTTCGCGTACCCATCGAAAGATTATCTTTAGAGCGAATTAAACTTATATTCCGCTCAGAATAAACATATCCTAACCCCAATAATATAATTTGATAGCATCGACAGCTTCCTGGGACCCTCGTTCAGGAAATGGTATGTGAGTAGGATGTTGCTGCACAAAATTCCAGTAGAGCTCTCTGCGACGAAGCATTGCTTAGAGTAATCAGCAGCATATAGCATAACGAGTCGGTGTACATCGTCAGACGTACATGTCGACTTGAACACAGTCTGTGGGTTGTAGGTAGCCCCGTAGTCTGCCGTACATTGGTTGTGGTCCACAAATAGGTGAAAGTACGACCCTGAAAGGTTCAGAAAGCTGGCTTCCACACCGTCCGGGAGCGTAGAAAATGTTTCTAGAATGGGACAGTTCATGAATCTGAAAAGCATCACCGGCGCACGAATGTCCTCGTCGACAATTACGTTGTATTCGCTATTCCGGAAATATACCCAGCCACGCGGATGTATGTACATGGTCCATCCCATCGGGAGTCCCTCGCGACTATGGTTGAGATTGATGTACGCATTGTCGAAACTGTAAACAGCAATGGGGGAATTAGATTCGTACTTTATGCCGGTATTCACAACTGGCTCGGAAAGCCCAGTGGTCATAGTAGTGTACAAGCGACGAAAGTCACTCAGGTCGACAGCGATAGAGAAGAAGCAAGCGAGTACATATCAAATATAGGCGGCTGAACAGCAGGCGGACTCCCACCCACACGAATGAGCAGTTGGCAGGAGATGGCATTCCCAGTGATGAAAGCTGTCTTCCGTTGTTAATGAACGGATACTACAGACGCGCAGATCACATGTGCGCGCGGCGGTCGTGTCTCCCCAATTCAAGTTCCCTGTGTGGCCACATTCTGGATCGAAATTGTCGGTTTCCGCTACCATCTCAACTCCCCCATTACTACCGACATGAATAGCCTTTTCCAGCAGCCTTCTCAAGCCAACAACACCCAGTCCCCAGGGACGACCGGCGGTGCTCAGGGGACTGTGCCTGCAAACAGTGCCACCCCCGGGAGCAGCACAAGTGTCTTTGGGAGTTCGGGTTTTGGAGGTAATCTTCATGATTTTATATCCATGATATAGTCTCAATCGTTCGTATGCAGCACAGCCCACTGGAGGCGGTCTATTTGGAAGTAACACCGCTCAACCAACCTCGAGTGGCGGCGGTATATTCGACAGAGGCACGTCTTCCAACGCACCTACTTCTGGAGGGAGTGCTCTTGGCGGAGGAACTGCTTTTAGTGCGCCTGCTTCTGGGGGTAATTTGTTCGGTAATGCTAATCCGGGAACAACAACCACGCCATCCACGGGGGGTAGCTTCTTTAATTTGACAAATCCGAATCCAAATTCGCAATTGGGCACCAGTCTTTTTGGTACAGCTAATCAGGCCACGTCTTCAAACACTGGAAATGGCCTCTTTGGAACGCCAAAACCGGCACCAACCTCCACGACTCCGAACGCTGGCACCGGTATTTTCGGTGGTGCAGGCGCTACGACAACTCCTGCCGCTGGTGCAAGTAATGGACTATTCGGAGCTACAGCTAAGCCTACAGGTGGGGGTAGTTTGTTCGGAACCACAGGGTCGTCAACACCAGCTACCGGTGGTGGACTATTTAACACCACCAATACTACTACTTCAGCCACTGGTGGAAATCTCTTTGGCGGCCTAGGGACTGGTGCAAATTCCGCGGGAACGAATGCTACGAGTAATACTACTACATCTGCCCCCGCGAACACCACTGCGGTGGGAGGAGGTATATTCAGCTCAAAACCTGCAGACTTATCAAGTTCGACGGCACCAAAACCTGCAGGCTCAGGGAGTGAGTCAATTGCAGCAGTCGTTGCGTTGGACTGTTTATTGAACTTGTATCGCAGCATTCGGCCAGCCGAGTTCCACTGGTACATCTACAGGTCAGTGTATTAGCACTACGTTGAAATTTGCTCAACAGAACTTCTTTGGTAAAATGATCAGCCGCAGCTCCTTCTGGCGGACTTTTTGGGTCATTAGCTCCCAAACCTGCGGAAGCATCTACCTCAACAACCACAACGGCGCCGACGGCGCCAGGGGGCTTGTTCAGTGGTGGCCTCTTTGGAAATAAGCCAAACACGACTCCATCATCAACACTCGGTAGTACTACCCCAGCAGCTCCAACGCTGCCCGCTTTTACTCTCGGGGGCGGAGCGGCAAAGGATGCTTTGTCATCGAAAGAGCCCGGAAAACCCTCAGATAGTTCGGCGTCGAAAGATGCGAGCTCGGCTAGTGAGTTCCGGCTACGAACATAGATGCGTGCTACATCCGACGCTTCCTGATGTCTTAGTACCGAATTTCTTTGCGAAGAAACCAGAAGAGAAGAAAGATACTCCTGCTGCTCGTATGTGCCTTCTCACTGGAAGCTGTGATTGCTATCTTATGGTGACTTTGTAGCGTCTTCCACGTCTACATTTAGTCTATTCGGAGGAACGAAGGATAGCAAAGACAAGGAACAAGATAGTGGAGCTGCTACGACAGAGAAAAAGGATGGTGTGTCAGATCTGACCTCGCATTTTATCTCCTTGCTCATACCTATCATCCACAGCACCGCTCCCTACGTTTTCTCTGGGTCCAAGCTCGGCACCGAAAGAAAGCGACAAAGCGACGCCCGCTACCAACGCTGGTATGATTCAGTGGTATGATTGTACATGCAATTGGTTGACATTGATTTTTCTGTGTCTGTAGGCGCGACATCCGCCTCTGCACCGAATACAAACACTGCATCAATCTCCGTTCCTCCCCCATCCGTGTTGCGCGGAAAGACGATCGAAGAGATTGTTAATAAATGGTCGTCGGAGCTAGATACACACACGCGAGAATTCGCCAAGTTTGCTGGTGAAGTTGCGGTCTGGGACCGTGCATTGATTGAGAACGGCAATAACGTGTGTTGATTCATCCTCTCCTTCATTTACCCGACATGATGGTGTCGCAATAGCTCGCCGCGCTATATGCGTATGTGCTGGCCGCAGAACAGGAGCAGAACGATATTGATCAATCGCTTGATCATATCGAGCAGCAGCAAAAAGAGCTCGTGGCCACGCTGGAGGCCTATGAACGATCGACAGAGGAGATCCTCGGTAGTCAAGGAGGCAACTTGCGTGCGCTGGACACTGGACCGGCTGACACCGAGCGTGACAAAAAGTTTGGCCTGTTGCAATTTTTTTTACGACAAAGGTCTAACATCGGTTGCTTGACAGCTATACATTGGCCACTGAGTTGCACGGTCATCTCGACGATCTATCTGGGTCGCTCACGCAAATGATCGACGCCGTGAACGCCCTCGCACTCCCATCAGACAGTACAGTTCAGGACGGTGGAGAGGATGCTATGGGTCAAATAGCGCAGATACTAAACAGTCACCTGGAAAGTCTGCTGTGGATCGATGGCGCAGTCGGCGAAGTGGAAAGCAAGATCAACGACGTCGAGAAGCGCGTGCGCCTTGCGGGTGATGGAATGGGCCAAGGAACGAAATCCAGAGGCTATGGTCTTGGTTCTGGGATCTGAATGAGGACCTTTATCATGAGTTACATATTCGGTGTACTTGCATCTTTTTGTTTGATGATAGAATACTTTATCGCGTAGTGCCTGCCGCATGCAAGAAGTGTACGTGTAAACGCCATGACTCGCTTGTTCGATTATGAACAAGCCTGTCCAACGGGTATAGTGGATATGCGTCAACAAGCTGCCAACTACCAATCCGTGCACAGTTGTACTGAATCGTGGTTTACCAACTCTGAATGTATGAAGCTCCACGCAAAAATGATTCTGTAGATAATCCTCGACAGTAGGAAGCACGTATGGTGACCGGGTGTAGATGGTCTTGCGGCCAAGTACTGCCTCACAGCCGATCGACGCCACTTTCCAAACAACAACAAATCTGTCCATGTGTTTCACTCACATTCATGCAGCAAAGTTCTACCACAACAAAATACTTCCATAACAATGTTTACATGTACGTGCGAGCATCATGCTCGCAGTCAATATGTTCGAACACAAAAAGTATTCGACGCCGGCAGGATTCGAACCTGCGCCCTCAAAGAGGAACAGATTACATAATGTCCAGTTTGTTATTCTAATCTGTCGCCGTAACCACTTGGCTACAGCGCCTTACGTAGTGTCAAGGTCTATATTTTATGACAATGATCATAAACTTGCTCTATTGGCAATAGTGAATCAGTGATTTTGCTTGTAGCCCCATCCACTTATCGGCGTTCGTTAAGGCCGTCTAGTCCAAGTCTAGTCGCCAGTCATTATGCTGTCTCCACGTCTGAATTTATCATTTCATCCGCTATGAAATGAAAAGGCTCCTCACAGCACGATGCCCATATATCTGTAGGAGCCACGATACTCGATAGTCAAGTCGAAGATTATAGAATGCTATCAGGTGTGTTTTCAGCCCGCATATCTTGTAGACTTTAAAGTTCGTACACGCCCTCGAAAGCGATGAAAGTACGTGGCGAGCTGATGAGTCTCTGAATCCTGTCCGATGCGGTTGACGCAGAGCTTTTGACAGGCCAAGTTTATCAAACCTCCCGCTGGCAAGTGCAATGCCCCGTAAAAGCAGTCTGCACCCACCCGCTATACACCGAGAATCAGTCGTCGTACGAGGTATTGTCTCCGCTTTCGCGAGGTGTGTATGGAAACAAACGACTCGTCCGTCATCCTATTCAAAACGCGCACATCTGTGGCTGACTTACGAGAAAAACTGCGGGGAAGGGGGAAGAGTTCGCTGGCAGTGATGCGGCTGGCAGACTATGGTGATCAGACGGTCGTGATGATTTTCTTTTCCTTCTGATTATGACCCTAGCTTCTTCGTGCCGCATGTTCACCTTCATATTTCCGCAGAACAAATTCGTTGGACTTGGTGCTGGGCAGTGGCTGCCCAGTGCTGAGGTCCGACCGTCTGCTGACCTTGTTGACCCTTGCGCCGTGTTCTCGGAAATGGTATGTAATTTCTGTCTTTCAACGTGGCTCCGACTTCGTATGATGCATAGTCGCGGTTGAGATTTCAAAGCTGCGAGAGGTGTATTGCAACCACTTGACGATCCGCATGGCATGGGTATCGCGATCTCTCAAAATAAGCTGATGCACACAGTGGCACTGCCAGCATAACTAGAGTTTGTCGTCTCTGTGGCTGTTATGTTCGGAAAGAGGGCGGGAAAGCGTGGTGAGAAATGGAATGACCTGATAGATACCGGCGGCGTCCTAACGCCCGGAAGTTTAGTCCAGTCCGGTGGATTGTTTACCCTGTTCTTGTATTGATCCATAGCAATGATCGTCGGTGAGCCGCGTATGGAGCGCATGTCTGTGGTTGTTGTGCCGCCGAAACCAGCCTGGGTGGTCCCGCTGTCCCAGGCGGGTGGGATGTGGGCTGCAGCTGTACGCAACCTAAATGCGATCTTTGTGCTGCTAGGCCACATGCATAGCATCTGTTTGACCAGTCAGACGCTCATCGAGAACACCCGTAGCTGTTGGCATGAAGGGCCATTTAGTCTGGCCCGCAGCATCGTCATGTTCTGACACTCGGCTGACATTCTTGTGTCCGTAGTACTCCATTCGAGTTCCTCGATGGTCAATTTTGCATTTGGGATTTGAGGAGAGATGACTGAGGCACGGCCTTGCACTGAACTGCGCTAGAGTCGCTTGCGCCTTTGCCGAAATGAGATCAGCGACATCGGAGATGTGTTTTGTGGCACCCGATCAAACCCATGGGCCTCGCCAAATTGCAGACGCTGCGTGTTGAACATCGAAACGTATCCAAAAGGTCAGATGTCTCTAGGAGGCGGGGAGTGCACCAAGCTCGTCGCTGCGTAGGCGGACCTCGTCTGCTCGTGCTGATGTGTCAATTTGGCTGTCAGGTCTGCCATTGGTTCGTATCTGCACGAGAAGCGCGGCGAGCTTGATCTAGCCCAGCAGGATCATGGTAGTTGGCACCAGCAGGCATCATGTCTTCGGCGGTTATAAGTCCCCCGCCCTTCTTCCCCTCCCCTCCCCCCTCACCTCCTGCCCCGCCCCCTAGGCTACTTCCTCCTTTCAATAATTCATGGCCGCACCCCCGGTAGTTGAGGTCAACAAGCAGCTCTGGTGAGTCCCTATTCATCTCGCCCCAATTCGCGCCCCACCTCCGCTCATCGCCTATCCCTTTCCTTTCGTCCACACCGTCAGGGACGACGCTCTCACTCGGCTTCTTGGTATGTTTTTCCATGCGACCGACCCGTCGTGCACGCTAATCACGCTTGTTGTGGCACCGCTTAGACCTCTCTACCGTGACCGTCAAGAGGAATGCGGAGCTGGAAACCAGAGTGGCGGAGCTCGAGGTCGAGCTCGCCGTTTGGAAGCAAGCGCACTCGGTTGTTGTCGAAGCTGCCGAGCGCGAGAAAAAGGCGCATAACGCGCAGGTCGCCACGTTCAATAGGCAGCTGTCCTCTACGGATCACCTCAAGGTGAGACAAAGTATCTTACAACCCGCTGCTTTCCGTGACATTCGGGCACAGAATCAGAGTCCCCTCATCCTTTGCGTCGTAGATGGGGACGCCAATGTGTTTAGTTCAACCCTCATCGCCAAAGGTCAGCAGGGCGGCCGTGAGGCGGCGCAAGAGCTCACGAAGGGAATTGCCGAGCACCTTTCCCAAGAGGGCGTTCAAGCATTTGGAAGACTCTCCTTCTGGGTCACGGTCTACTATAACAAGCGAAGCCTTCTGAGCATGCTCCAGAGCGAAGGCGTATGTTCCGCCGAGCAGTTCGAGGCATTCATGTCCGGTCTTAGTCAGGCTTCTCTCCGCTTCCTTTTAGTGGACGTCGGCCCGGGTAAGGATGGCGCCGAAGCCAAAATCCTGGGTAAGAGCTTCTGTTCCCCCTTCTCCTCTGCTCATCGTCTCCGTTAGAATATCTGCAAACATATGTTTATCTTCCGCAGACTTTGCGGATTTTCCTCGCAGGTAGGCTAATTCTGTAACAATGGAGAATCTTGACCTATTTTCTCTGCAGTAGGGGAGCGTACTGCCGCCTATTTATCGACGTTAACGGCAATTTATAAAAAAGAGCTGCTCGGAAAAGTCGTCGTCTTGCAGGGGCGCGAACGGCTCTCTGGGGACTTTGACCATCTTCCGATGCACTGTCTGAGTATTGAAGGCTTGTTTGAGCCTCGACTTTCCGCATACGTCCAAAAACGGCCGGGACCGATCCCCTTTACGGACGTGAATCGCAATGTTACTACTCACGGGGGACTCATCAGCCCTCAGTCCGAATCACAGTCTACGACACCCTCTAGTTCTACTCAAACGCGTTACACTAATAATGGCACCCAGCCGATAGACCCCACAAAGGTTTGAAATTTGCTATTTATTTACTGGCCTCAACTGACCACATACCTGGCATCAGCCTCTCCACAAACGTGAGAGCCCGCCGCCACTAACACCTTGTCCTCCTTTGATACAATACTTCTTTGCCCTTAGAAACACCGCCACCGTGTAATGAGCATTATCTGATGTCTTGCTCCAAAGGCGTGAGCAACATTTGTCCTAAATTGTGTAAAAACACCTACAGGAAGTCTACAGGCGAACTGCAAGTATTCGCACGATTGGTTCCTATCACCCGAACAGCTGGAAACTCTGTCGAGGAATGCGAAGAAAGCCCCGTGTAATTATCTCAAAAATGGTGAGCCCTCGTGGCCACTAATGTCGCTGAAGCTAACCGCAAGGTAGGAACGGATTGTCCTTATGGCGATAATTGTTGCTGGGTGGGTTGTTTCTTGTTTCTTATGGCGGGAATAGCTGGAACTGCTCCCAGGGTCACGTCTGTCCGAGTGGCACGAAATGCTTCCATCTCAGCAAAGGAAAGTGTTGGTTTAAAGGAGGTACGCTTGTGGTCCTATATTTTAGCCTATCACTAAAGTATATGGCTTCCAGACGGAATGCACCACGCCACTGGCACGCAGGAGAATTAGAGCTTCACAAATAAATCATCTAAGTAGTTTCGCCGGAAGGCGCGGGTCCGTCATTTATGCTTGCTCGTCGCTGTAAAATATTTAAGCTTTGCTTTGCTTTTTTTTCGACTCTTGGGTTATGTTTGTTTCGTACGACCGCCGCTTATAACATGACATGTAACAAATTATCACATGGTAGAGCTTATAATATATCATACAGGTTCAGCTTGGTATTCTGTGGTGGGATTGAGTGTCGTACTGCGAATCAACCAATCTGAAGCTACTGCCAGTACTATAAAAGTCGAATGCACAGTCACTGGTTGCAGCGACCATGTAATCGGCGTTGACCGTATAGCAGCCGTGGGAAATCGATCATTGGTAGTCTGGCGCGATGCCACTCAGAGACCCGTTGCCTTCTCGCCACTCTCCTCCAATCTCTACTATCGTCGTATAAACTATGTCCGCGGTAAGTCGCAGGCGTCATCTAAATGCCTCGTGCATTCAAACGCTTGATAATAGCCTCACGAGGAAGACGATTTTGCGCCCACAAATACCCCAGGTGCGACCCGACTTCTTTCAATAGTGTCGTAACTCTGTATTCACGGACGCTCATCGCCAGGCTACAAGCCCACTGCTGCAAAGTCCGTCGACGAGTATGCGAATCTCGATGCCGAGGACGAAAGTTTGGCGCGTTGGAAAGCCAGCCTGGGCATTGTTCCCGGTGCCTCCGGCGCAGACACCAGCAAGCCAAAGGTGCGTACAGCCTTTGTCCCTCAGTGCTGTGCAGTTGGGCCCTGTTGATCGTATGCTCTCTCTAGGTCACCGTCGTGACGCTCGAACTTGCATCTCCTACACTCCCTCCTGGTAAGAAGCTGTCGCTCGACATCCAAGATCCCGCGCAGCTCGCGAACGTCAAGAAGAACCCGATCGTGATCAAGGAGGGTGTTGAGTATAAGTGAGTATCACCACTCGGCTAACTCTAGTCAGCCTGAATTCGGCTGGGTTCTTTGTAGTGTCCGCATCACTTTCAAGGTCAACCACTCCATCATCTCGGTGAGACACCAGTTCGTCCACTCACCAATGTTGTACTAATTGGGAGGCGCCTGTTCACAGGGTGTTCGGTATATGCAGGTCGTGAAGCGTTCCGGTGTCCGAGGTCCACTTGCTATCATGTTGCTCGTTGCTCTATACTTACCAGATCTTGTCCACAGTGGACAAAATGGAACAGATGCTCGGCTCGTATGGTCCCCATCCCCAAGGTGAAGCTTACACCAAGAACTTCGACCCGGAGGAATCCCCGTCCGGTATGCTGGCGCGTTCAGGCACATACAACGTCCGGAGCCGGGTCGTGGATGACGATGGCGAGGTGTATGCTGGTCAGTGTCCCTTCTGAGTTGCCCTAGATGCATAGACTGAGATGATTACAGACTGGGACTGGTCGTTCAAATTGGCGAAAGAGTGGTAAATGTGGAGGGTGGATATTTCTGTGATTATAACTGTGCATCTGTATTCCTCTCCTGCAACTGTCTTCCTGTTCTCGGATGTATTGGATACAACAAGCAATCTCATAACTTTGTTTGGGCCACCCCTCCATTGGCTTTGAGTGTTAAGTGCTTGCGCAAGCATCATGGGTCGATTTGTTGGTCTGTCCGCTCTGCCAAATATCACCAGTGATGCCGCTTCAGTGAGGAGCGAGCGTACTGCGCCGAGCGTCCGAGTCGGTAACGCCCGAGTCTGGCCGAACCATGATCTTCACCGGGCTTGCAAGAACGCGTATCGTATCTGACCTTCGCGTCGGCCTACGCCTGAGGTGCCTTCAAAGCCGGGCACCGCTTCCCAGTCATGGTCTTTCCATACGGATTCCCATCGGTGTCGCCCGACGCACAGGGACACTGTCCTCGCCTCCCGTGCCAAAATCCTGGGTAGAATCACTGCCAGCTAGAGCGCGACCATACCTCTACCTAACGCGCATTGACAAGCCTATCGGAACCCTCCTGCTCTTCTATCCATGTGGTGGGTGCAACAGTGGTGGTCCAACGCACGTCGTTGCTGTAAGCTTATGGCCGCTTTCTTGTGCAGCGTGGTCAATCACCATGGCGTCATACGCGCTACACGCACCGTTCACGACGCCGCTCGCATATATCAGCCTGTTTGGATTGGGGGCCCTCGTCATGCGCGGCGCAGGATGCACGATCAACGACATGTGGGACAGGAAGCTCGACAAGGCTGTCGGTGAGCCGCACCCGCATTGGCGTCTATGTATGGGCTCACTCATCCCTGCTAGCGAGGACGAGGGAGCGGCCCCTGGCGAAAGGCGAAATCTCTATGCCCCAGGCTGTGGGTTTCCTCGGCCTGCAGCTCAGCACCGGGTTGGCAGTGCTCACGCAGCTCAATTGGTATAGGTGAGTCCTGTCCCCGCAGGTTGACGCGATTAGGGTGTCGGGACTGTTTTTTTCTCCTATAGCATCTTGCTAGGAGCCTCGTCACTTTCCCTTGTCATTATCTATCCGTTCATGAAACGCGTCACGTACTGGCCCCAGGCGGTGCTTGGTGGGTGTAGCGACGATCTCGCCGTTCACAATCAACTTACGAATGTCGCGCAATAGGGCTCACGTTCAATTGGGGCGCGCTGCTCGGGTGGTCCGCCGTAGCTGGGTCTGTGAACTGGAGCGTCGCTCTTCCCCTGTACGCAGGAGGGGTCTGCTGGACTCTCGTATATGATACTATATACGCTCATCAAGTACGTCGCGCGCACATCCCGTGAAAGATAGTGCCGACCAAACCTTGACAGGACAAAACTGACGATGTCAAAGTCGGAATTCGCTCAACTGCTCTACTCTTCGGAGAGCGCACGCGCCCCATCCTCAGCGCGCTCTCTGCGTCGTCCATATCCTTGATAACATGTGCAGGATATCTGAATGGCCAGGGACCGTTATTTTACCTGGGTACTGGCCTTGCAGCCGTCCAGCTGGCCCGCGTCGTCGTAGGAACTGACTTTAACAATCACCAAAGCTGCTGGAAGGGATTTGTGGGATGCGGGTGGGCTGGTTTCGGGATATGGATGGGAGCGCTGGCGGACTATGCGTCTATGGCTGCCGGGATCTTTTGAGTAGCTGCTACTATCGATCTCGTGCCGCCATTCATCATATATACAGCTGGTATTTATATAGACTTGTTTCAATTCCACTTCTCTTATGGCTGCTTCTCATCCCAATCATTTCTCTCTGCGTCTAGTTCGCGACATCGGGTCTGAATAGTAGTGTAAGATCGCCAACCCAGGACGCCAGTTACGCCAGGAAAACACATTACCTCTAGAGCGGATAAATGAGAGTCGTGCGATTCTGGTGCAAGCCTCTTCACGGCAGCGGCTAGGTCGTACAGATAGTCTTTGTTCCGTCCAGATGGGCCCACAGAACGCCATATATGCTTGGCAAGTTTGTCTATGGGCTCAGAGCCAACTGCGGATGCCTGCATGAGCTACACGATTTACAGCCACAATGAGCACCCACTAAATGAAGGATTGTCGTTGCGACCGACGTAACACTGCAGAACATACTAGTTTATCAGTCCCGGGGGAAGGGGGCAGATGAAACACACGTACAAATGCCTAAATGAACCTGCAGTGGAGTTCAACGTTCAGGCGGAAAGTATGGGGATGCTCACGAACGTTATGTATGACGACCTGCTCTACGCCATCAACTATTCCCCACACGTTGAGCTCTTCTAAGGTATAACCGTCCTGGCGCATGAATTAGCCTTCTGAAAAGAGGACGAGAAAGGCGGAGTTACCTTCTCTCGATAGTCTGCAGTGGACCGCGTGAGCACACGGTACGGGAGAGAGAGAATGCGAGGTCACCTAGGTAGTCCCGGACTTCAGACTCGTACAGCGGATCGATAGTGTATGCGATACCTGTGGCACTCCCGTCGCATCTTTCGTACTCAGAAGGGCGAGCAAGACGCACCCCAGACAACGTCGTCATTAGGAAACGGATCCTACGGGCGCGAGCCTTAATCTCGGGGAATAACACCACGCTGGCGGTGGAGCCGAAGACGGGCACGCACCGACCCAGAGAACGCATCCCAGTCCTCCTTGTGCACCAGCGTGACGACTCTCCCAGGGCTCTGCGCGCGCAGCCGCAAGTCAGCCTCCTGCAGAAAACCACACCGACGCCGCAACCGTCCCCCGACCTACCTCTGGCGTCCCTCTGTGATCATGCGACTTCTGGGCGAATCTGCGCACGTAGCCCTTCAGGAATCCGGGTTCTACGAGCGACGAGGGTCAGCACGCATCCGCGCAGCCTAGTGCGCGAGCCCGACGGTGGGGGTCCTACGCACGTTCAGCAACGACATGGGGTGGCGGCTGTCTCGATACGATCGGCGGGCGGGCCCTTGGTCAGACGCCTGCCTCAATGCCCGCGGCGAGTCTACCGACGCACCTTGAAGATCAGCGAGCCATAACCGAACACCACGTACGCTTTCTCGCCCATCGTTGACCAGAGTGAGCAGCTCTAGAGTCTAGTCGTGCGCACAGCTGGCCCCCGAGGGCGTTTCAAATCCTGGCTGTGTGCCATCGTCGGTCGCCCAAGTCACGCGCCGCGTTGGGCATACTTCCTCCAGCTCACTATCACGACATGTGGCACCACCGCGAACGAGCCTTGTGGAGCTGACTTCAAACTTGAGGATATCTTTCAAGGCGCGTGGTCACGAGGATAAGGATAGATGACGACTAGTTTCAAAGCTCCAATCCCAGCTAGCGATACTGACAGGACGGCCAGGCACACCGTGGCGTACTGATATTTTAACACGAGACCCAATACGACAAATGTCAACGAAGTCCCCCACCTTTACTTCCCTCCTTCCACTCATCACTCTCACAATCTCGTCGTCAAGCTTAGAAGCCTAGCAAATCGTCATTCACCAACATACTATCCGCTAACAACAGCAACACTATGAAAGCAGTGGTATTATGTGCAGAAGGGCATCAGGCGCGACGACAGCAAATAAACACAATCGCAAAGCCGTGCGTCAGCGCAAGGGTAGGTCATTATGCGATCCAATGTGCATAGTCAATATAAAATAGATGGGCTACAGATTCGGTCGCGCGTGCCGCGCAAACCGAGGAGGAAAGTGGTGATAGAGATGACAGAACAATGCACAACAGATTAGTCTTGGCGTAGTCGAGGAATCCTACGTGGGAGAGGTGAGTGTTAAATAATCGTGGTGCCGGCATGAGTGTCGGTGACTCGTTGCAGGTGGTGCCAATGGTGTACGCTCCTTGGAGGGTCGGACCAAATGCTGCCACAGCAGTTGACTCCGAGGGTATCATGCGGGACCGATCCGTTAATACCTTCTTCCTTTTCTTGGTTTTCTTGCTATTCTGCGGTGCCACTCATGCTGACGCATGGAATTTCACAGCTGCGTGCGTGTGACTCTTCAGCCATCCCTTAAACCCGACAACCGTCAGTGCCCAGCAGAAGGCGAGGCACGTAATGGCCACATCGACGTTCAAGAACATCATCACGTCGTCCTTGCTTTGTCGCATGGCCGCAATCGTCACCTCTTCCGTCGAGAGCATGAACATAAGGCCTCCACTGGCGAGGAAGAAGGAGCCTAGTGCCTCTGTCGGAGGTCGACTGGGAAGGATCGAGCGCGGTGGTCCGAGCCAGAGGAAGAAGTATGTCAGGCAACGCATCAGAGCGAACGCGCTCAGGAGATAACCCCACAGCATGTGGATTTGCACCTGAAACAAGTACGTCTGCGCATGAGCACTCATCGCGATGCCGGTGATACCGATGCACAAAGCAGGGAATGGATTGAAGCTGGAGCTGTATTGCGGAGGTTCCGCGACCACTTCATGTGTGCGCGAAGGCGTGCGTACGGCCGCCGTGCTACCAGATGCGAGCCATCGGCGAATGGTCTTCGATTCGATGCCCATGCCGACGAGACCTGCAAACCAGTACATGACTGCAATGCTGATGTGCTGCATTTGCTTCGCGGTATACGGGTCGCCTGGATTCGCGCCGAAACGTTCCATCCAAGTGTTGGTTGCGCCATAGGTGAAGATGACAAGGCACTCCACGAACTCAGCAGACACGAAGTTGCCGGATGGCGCTCGGTTCCATGCCCAGCCAAGCTCGGAGAAGGCCCCTAGGTATCGTGCAAAACTGACAAGTCCATAGCACCAGAAGATGCCGCCCTCTGGAGACATAATGAGGTTACGATCGTTAAGTAAGTTATACACAACACATACTGATCAAGTGTGCAAGGCAACCATTGCCCCAATACTGCCTGCAACCACCAGTGTAAGTCACCACACCGGTAAGAACTTGCATGAACCCGGCAAAAACAAGTACACGCTCCGAAGTTGCAAATGTGATTCGCCAGAGTTTCCTCAACAGTGACACCTTGCTCCCGGAAAATGTGAAAGAATCCCTCTGGAGACTGTCGTCAGAATGTCTAGGAGAATGGGGACCAAACAAAGTCCGCTCCGAAGCAGCTGAATGCGGGTAGGATGGCTGGCGACGATGCCTGCCGACATCGTTCGCCCATTCCGCGGTCTCAGCGTCATCTTGGCCTTCCGCATCAAAGACGGTACGGATGGGCTCCATTGGACGATGCCTGCGCTCATGAAGAGGCTCCGACTCAGACCCTTCCGAATCGATATCCTTAACCTTGAGTTCTGCATCGCTGAGTTCCTCGGCATCGTCCGCAACAAGCGTACTGTACTCGACGGGAAGACCGATGTAGCTTCCCTCACGGCCAAGGACAATAGTGCTCCAGGCAGCCTTGAAGCCAATTGTCTCTTCGCCTCGACGGATCGCTGCGAGATAATGGAAAAGTCTGACGAATGCAGAGCCTACGTCGAGGAGAGTGAGCAAAATGGCGAAGCATATCCATCCATAGCCCTGGCTGCCGTGCTTGGCACCCTCATACCTGGCAGATATGAGATCAGGGGTATCTCCGAAAGCGAATGACGTCTTCACTTACATGTCAGGGGTTAACTTCCGATAGATCATGCTCGCCCCGAGACCGATCGCGACGAACGCGTAGAAAAGGACAACAGAAAGGCCGTGCCATGCAGACTTGACTGAACGGAGTGCGATGCCTGGCAAAGACACGTTGGAGGCATCGCCGGGCAATATGCTAGGGACACTAACCTGCTGGGAGTGCGCCGAAGAAAGCGAGGCCCATTGAGAGGACGTGGACGGCCATGAACCCAGGATAGCGCTTCTCGCCGGGCACCTTGTCGACCATGTCTATCGTCCAGTATGAAGGGGGCGTAATTTGGTGGGACATGGCAACTTGAGTTTCGTTGAGCTCCAGGAGGGGTGCCCCATGGCCATGCATATGTTCATGGTCATCCCGACGGACGTTTTCTAAAGCCGAGGGAGAGTAGGTGGACGGGCCGGCAAGCGCGTGTTCGTCGTGGGAAGGGGCGGCGGCGACGGCGGCGGCGGCACCGAGAGCGGCACCGAGGACGGGGACGAGAAGGGGGACGACGCGCATGGCGGGAAGGAAGAGAGGGGACGAGGAGGCAGGGAAAGGGGACAAGGCAGCGAGGAGAAGTGAGTGATTATGTATGTGCCCGGTTTGGCGGCTGACCGAGCGGGGAACCTCGGGAATGCTGCAGAATGCTGTCTCCGGCGCCTGTTTTGTGAGTTGTCTCGCCCGCCCCCGCTGACTAAACCCGGCCGACTCAGTATCGATTCGCGTCTCGTCACGCAATTATTTACCCTCGCACTCAACCTCTCTGCCGCTCCTCGCTCGACCTCGCTCGACCTCTTCACTGCTCTTCGCCCAACATTGCTGCCTCCTCCGAGTCGGGGGCTCGGAGGCCCAAAGCGACCTCACAGACGTCTCGCTCGACTCACCTGGAGTCTTGTCCGGAATCGGCCCCGATCTCCTCTGATGACCTCATTTCGTCACCGGCTCCCATGCTTTTCCGGCCACATTAGAAATTCCTGGCGCCTTCCGCCGGCAATCGCCCGCCGCCCGCCCGGCTTGTGGCTCGCACCCCTCCCGCCCATCGCCCTCGACAGCGACCGCCCGCATCCGACCGTCCTCGTCTGCCCCCCTCATCAACGGCACGCCTACATCCCTCACACCACTTCAAACCAGAAAACCATCTTCCGTGCAGCTCCAACTCCCGCCCCCAAACTCCGTTCTCGTCTCACTTCCCGCTGTTCTAGTTCTAGTTTTGTCCAGCCGTGTCCCGACGGTGCCCGCCCTCTCCACCACCTGACGACCGCCGGCCGTTGCCACTGCTCCTCCGAACGGATATATCAGATTCTGCCACATCCTGCTTGGTCACACAGCCATATGCGTCGTCGCACCAGCATCCGATCAACGTGCATTTCCCGGACGCCGATGCCGCCCAAATCACTGAAACTGGCTTTAACCAATTGAGTCTAGACCTTGAAAGCACTGCCTTGAAACCGCCGAGTCACCCCACGCGCGTTTGCGGGACTGCAGACTCGAGTTGCTCACTTTTCGTGTTTTACTCGGTGTCCTGTCTCGGAGTTGACTCCCTGCAGCTGCGCATATAATATCCCCTGTGGGCGTGGTCTTATTTTATCAATCTTTCACTTCCTTGTCAATCGTCCTGTCAGTCGTCCGCACTACCTCGGTGTAGCAGGCTCGCGGTTGTCGCGTTCTTCTCATCATTTCGAGGAGGTAAGGGAGCGAGCCTTGCGTTATTTCAGATTGCAAAAACTGGTAGTTTTATGGGTCTCACTACTCCCATACAAAGCTCAGGACGGACCTGCAGTTTCTACAATAGCTTCCGTTTTTCTCATGCGATCTGCAAGCTCAGAAAGGCGATGTCGGCGGCGTGTTCCTTACAAGGCCACTGCTGTTATTCATACATCTTACGGATCCGGATGCAGTCCCTCCTAGGAACCGGGCGTTTCTGTCTTGATATTCCTCCACGGACCGTTATTGTCGGCTGCTCTGGACACCCATTCCTTTACTTCCAATTCCATAACAGAATCCAGGCTTCTGGCAGATTGACAGCCTCCTGTGTGCTTGTCTGATAGCCTGAGACTGCCACTTGCTACATCCTCAAGGACTTGTGCTGCCCTATTACCATCCTGTCAGTGTCACTACACCCACAAGGCGTTCTGATGGGCCTGAGACGCGCGTGCGCACCTTGTCCCGGCCATCTAAATATGGCATCACGCTGTACATTGTCCCAGATCTTACTCCTTTCTGTTGGCATCTCTTCGATTCGGGGCATTTGACGTAAAACGCTCGCCAGGTTTTGACTCGGTTCTGGCTGTTGCAAGCGTCGCTTGCAGCTGTTGCAGTCGCTGCGTTCTTGTATGGAAATTCACGATCTCCTTCTCCAGTCAGACTAGTAGTCTGGTGCATATTGGGGTTTGGGCTATTTTGTCCCAGCTAGGTTGTACTCTCGACACAATTCAAAACGTAAGTCGGAACCTCTGCTTCAACTGCAGAATACGATGGCTAACTTCCTACGCGCTGTCGCATAGTGCCTCAGAATGGAAATGGGGGGCGACCTTTGCTAGGTATCAGATAGTCTGCCTTTGACCCCCCTCACCTTCGTGTTGTCTTTCGAGGAGATTCGAGTCGATTCTTATCTTAGCTTAGAGAAAGTCTTTGTCGAACAACAAGTCTTCGATCCTCTCGACTTGGACTTTTCAAGCTGGGACACAATCTCGGCGGGAGCGCCTATAACTAATTACATTCTATCCGGACCTGATTGCTGAGATGAGTCGCTACGTGTTTTACCTGTTCTGTGGTCTGGCATACGGGCAAATGGTTTGATGTATGTAAGATGTATGTGCATACCTTCACAGCGAGTGGGACAATTTGCGTACTTATAAGTGGGACTCGACTTGAGCGCTCAAGCTAGTACTATTAGGGCCTAATACCGGCTTCTGTGCGCACTCCCTTTCAAGTTCTCAGCAGATCGCTACTCTTCCCAGTTTTAGCCAAAGTCTGACACCAAGCCGCTGCCGATGGACTCGGGTGAAACATGAGTAATTACGACACAAACGCTCGGGGCGGACGCGGGTCTCAGGGCCGCAGCGTGGTCAGGAATGTACCGGATCATATTGAAAGCTTCACCAAAGCTCCATCTTTGAAAGCCACGCCGTTGCGTCGTCCTTACATGTTGCCAAAGTATTCGACATGCGACTCGACGCAACGCTGCAGGTTGATCGGGCTAATTCATGAGCTGATCGGCGGTTGCGGCCGAGACTACGGGCGCTTAACATTCTGCTTCCGGTTTCAGTCGGACACCACAACCTGGGGTTAGGGTTGCGAGGACGATCACGTGAGCGCGTCTCTCCGTAAGCTGGGGACACGAACAAAGTTTTTCTCCGTCCTGTGGGACGACCCGTGTATGGGGCGATGGTCGCTTATCCCACAGCTGACTTATCTCTCCGTCGCTCCAGGCGCCGCCTGCAACGGCCTACGCGCCCCAGAAGCTCCAATTATCTGCTCAATGCACCATTAACGTGTTTCGTCGGCTTGTTTTTCTACTTCGAGGTCTCCGGCTGAGGCTGCCCTCTGGACTACCTCGTATTGCTAAGCGGCCGCTTTTTGCGCGCACGGAGAATCGACGAGCATGCTCACCTGGCGCACAGCGCGAAAGATCGTGTGGGGAGATGTCCCAGAGACCAAAGCAGAGCGGACGCTGCTGCTGAAGATAGACTGGTTCATCCTGTCCTATTGCTGCCTCATGGTGTGTCGCGTGATTTCTCTTCTCTTCACTTCGGTCGCTGAGGGTGCATCTGCGTCTAGTACTTCACGAACTGTACGTACTGCACTGCTTGACTCGTGCTGCGCTCGCACACGTCCCACACTTTCTTGTCAGATCTGGACAGAAGCAATGTTGCAAACGCGTACGTCTCGGGCATGAAAGAAGATCTCAATATGTACGGAACGCAGTACAACGTGAGCGAAGTTGTCGTCGACAGTATGAGTGAGGCTGATAGGTCGCAAAGAAAATCAATACCATTTTCACTTGCGGGTATATAGTCGGAATGATACCAAGTGCGTTCTTGCTTTGTTCTGTCATGATAAGCATGCAAATCCTACGTGACTGCAGATAATCTTATGCTGCAAGTCGTTTCTCCGCGAATCTGGTTTCCGTTCATGCAAATTATCTGGGGGGTCTTGACCTTCGGGTACGTATAAGAGCATCTTGCCTTGTTAGGATCCTTTCTGATTCGGTTTGTCATTGCAGCTCGAGCGCCGTGAAGAATGTCGAACAAGTACGTGTATTGTCAACGCATATAGTCGATCATGTCGATCCTGATTAAATTCGATAGATGTATGCTATACGCTTCTTTCAAGGCGTGTCTGAAGCATCGACCTTCGTCGGCACACATTATATTCTTGGCTCGTACGTCTCAATATTAGTGGATGTAATATACCAATCCTGTCATTCTTACGTTTTGAATCCTCTTTCTATAGCTGGTATAAGCCAGGCGAGCTCGGGAAACGCTCGGGGATCTTTACGAGCTCAGGGCTTATTGGGACATTGTCTGTGCACTTGTCAGAGCTCATCATTCGTTATTCAAAACATCTGCGCCAGGTTCTCCGGTGTCCTCCAAGGAGCCGTATATCAGTAGGTACCCTACCATCCATCACGGGGTGTCAGTTGGCTGATTGCGCACAGACATCTCAATGGCGTCTCTGGACGTAGTGGCTGGCGCTGGCTGTGCGTTTGATGTCCACCAACTTGACCGGTGTATGTTCAGATCAATGGCGTTTATAGCTTCATCATCGACGGGGTCATCACCTTGCCCATTGCACTCTATGGCTTTTTTGTGTTTCCAGACGTCCCTGCGACGACACACGCTTTCTACCTCACTGACGAGGTACGATGCATCGTCACTTCACTGGGGTATATGCTGATGCGTCGCTTATAAGGAACGCCACCTCGCGTCTACACGCCTACGGACCGGGAGACGTGATAAGGAGGTTATATCAGAAGAAGATAGTACTAACGAAGGCGCGCACGGGCGCCCAACGTGGGCTCTAGCGCGGCGCGTGCTTGGCCGCTGGCGGTGGTACGGATGCAGCTTACTGGTACGTGTGCTCTTGTTCCGTACCAGCGCCCCAAAGACACGACAGTGATATGCTGGCTGCTTCTCACACGTGTAGTTCGCGATATCGGGTGAATGTGAGAGTTTCGGATCGAACAATCTCATGGGGCAGTGGCTCAGTGCCATTGGCGGATACTCTGTTGAAGAAGTTGGTGCGTGCTCCCGTAGTTCGGCTGCCCGCGATGGGTACTTGACATTCCCGTTTTCTATCATCATTGGACCCGCAGACTATTACCCAAGCGGTGTCACTGCTGTGGGGATTGTGTCGACGCTCTTGTGTGCGACATGGACCGATGCGACACGCTCTCGTGCGCGGTGGCCTGTCCTCGTCTACATGGCTCTCGCAGTCATCGTCGCCAGCATTTGTCTACTCGTATGGCGGGCTCCCATCGGCCTCAAATTCTTCGCGTACTGTGAGTGCCTCCACGCTGTTCTTCGTGGCGGCTGTCTGACGCTGTATGCGTATTCTTTAGATCTGGCTGGAGCGAGTTATTCTGGACAAGCTACCACATTTGCGTATGTGATCGGCTTCCACCAGTGTGCGACGATAAGTAAAGCTAATCGCGTGGCATATGTGCTTCATCGATTTCATAGGTGGGCGAACCAAATTTGTGCCGGTGACGACCAAGAGCGCGCGATCGTTCTTGCTTCTATGAAGTGCGTAGAAATCCTCTGCCACATGCGTATGATTAATGTTTGACCGAACACGGGACAGCATGTGGAACAACGCCGTCAACGCCTGGTGGCCGCTCCTCTTCTACCCAGCCACGGATGCTCCTGAATTCCGTAAGGGTATGTGGGCAATGATTGGCACGGGCACCGCGACGCTTCTCGTCACTTTCTTCGTATGGTTTCTCGAGCGCCGCGAACGCAGAAGACATGAACGTCTTAGCGTGGAAGGACTGCGGGACACAGGCCAAGAGGTCGATGCACGGGTCGATGAAAAAGAGAGCTATGATGAGAACGGCGACAAAGATGGCGATGAGAAAAGTTAGAAGACAGTGGGTTGGGCAGTCATCTACCTTTTTCAATGTTCATGATATGATGAATGTACGACCACAGTCGATCCGTGTAGAGCACCTTGTTTATATAACATTACTCTTAGAGATTCTGAATCCCTAACACTGCCAGTGATGCTCATGCATTGCGTCATCCGCGTGACGCCTGCGGCCAGAGGTATCAACCGCCACAGCCGCGTCTGCGTACTCGCATTCAATCGTGATCAACAAATCTGCATATTTAGGATGACCCAACGATGCACATATTGACATGTATTCTAAAACATACGACCGAACGAGACGAACGCCGTAATCGTATCACGACGCAGAACCTATTCCGAATATGTGGGAGGGGCTTCAACGTGCATCCGTTCATTCATACTCTGCATGAACTGGCGCAGCTGCGACATTTCCGTACGCAGCTCAGTCATTACGTGGTTTCTGCCTGGCCCCTCATCGGGCTGCCCCAGAAGGGAAGCCGCGCTCCCAGTAGCCGCACTCCCAGTAGCCGCGCTCCTGGCGGACGCGCTTCTCGTAGTCGCGTTCTCCGCAGTCGTGCGCGGAATAGCCGTACTCCTCGGCTGCGTGGAGGACTGGGGAGGGGACGGCGAGGGCGTCGAATTGGACCCAGACCGTGATATCACTGCAGCATGGCGGATCCCTTCCATTTTCGCTGACCGGAGATCTTCAGGCGAAACATACGATCCCGAGACGCCATCCTCAGAGGGGACGAACGGTGTAACCGTGTCATATAGCAAATGGGGCGAGGAAATAGGCAAGTCGATTGGGACGGCCTTGTATCGCCTGTGACGCACGAACACCACAGCGGCGATGGTAAAAATCGAGACCCCGGCGACGCTTCCAAAAACTGCCCCAAGAATGATGCCCAAACTTGTGTGTGATTTGGCTGGAGTAGATCCGGGAGTGTAAGACGTAGGGGGTGTTGTGCTATTTGATGGCGGTATTGATAGACTACAATATACAGTCAGCACACTTTTCTAAGGCATCGGAATACACTGACCTCATTATCATAGGCGCAAAGAGCGCGCCTTGAGCAGGACTTCGATACTGGTCAGCATGATGTACAAACAAAGGACGCCATCACAGACCTTGCCGGGCCCGAAATGTACGATCCATTCAAGACATAATACGAAGAAGCAAAGATGTCGACTCTTGTGTTCACCGAAGCATACGAAGCAATGCTCGACAGAATTTGAGCGCAAGTACTTGCATTTGTCATGGTTGCGGCAACCATTGCCAGAGCCGCTGGGAAAGAATTATAAGAGCAAGCCGGAATCAAAGTAATCAAGTATCGTACCTGAGTTCCCAATCTCCGACAGATCATCCATAGGAAGTCCAAACGCATAGGAGGCTTCACCAAGCTATAAGCGGGGATATTAACAACCAAGCAGAATCATACCAGGATTATCTTCTATCAATTGCTCGTAGAACTGGGTTTGGGCATCATAGACCTATAGTGCGTGAACAATCTGCATCGTCGCTGTGTAAATGTTCGAGGTTACCTGCGAACTTATCACCCCCGTCGCAAGTAACTTATCGCCGAATAGTGAGTCCACCAGTGCCCAGGAGGACTCCGGACCTCCATATGTCGAAGTTAGATGCGCCTGCCCATTGGACGTGACAAAAGCTAGCGACTCCCAATGCGAGGCGTATTCAGCCGCTATCGACTTCGCAAATATCTTATGTGAGGATCATACCCGTGACACGTTAGGCAGAAGAACCGTACCGAGTAATTGACAGAGCTGTCGCTGTCATAATTCAATAATTTATTAATAGTCCCCATCGCCCCGATACCGATGATCCCTTTGGCGGCCACATTTGTCGAATTATCGCTTGCAGTCGGAGAGGCCAATGACACCCTGCAAATAACAATGATCAGGATATATTCTATCTAGACTCGGCGAAGAGCTGACTGGTTCGAAGGATACAGCGCATTGTCAGCCAAGTAACCGGCCCAGCTATTCAACATGGCA